CAGACTGCCAGGACTTGCTGGGTGGGTTTAACCAACAACCTTTCAGCTAGTAGTTGAGCGCTTAACTGTTTGCACCATACCCAGGAACTGGGTGTCAACAAGCTGTTACTCCTACACCCTAGTCCTTTGTCCACTATGCATTCTCTGAACTAATTTACAACCCCTCATATGTACTTACACCAAATCAAGAACAAAACCCCCTGCCATCAATCCTGACTCACAGGAACTCTATAGGACAGCTTACAACTATCCCAAAAGGGTTTCCAAGGCTATAAATCTTTAGGGACATAGACTGCCTCCTCTTTCTCCTGCAGAACAGCTGGTGGGTTCAAATCGCTGACCTTTTGGTTTGCAGCCAAATGCCTTAACCACTGTATCACCAGCGCTCCTTCATGTACTTTAAATTCATTTATGAAAAGCAGACTTTATCGTTTTCTCAGAACCTATGCCCTTTTACCATTTTCTTGTCATTTCCTAACTTTTTGCCCTTCATAATTACTAGGCTCAGTTCCTTTTTATTCTGGGTTTTAACCTTCCATTCTGTTTTCAGTTATGCTGCTTAACTCCTCAACCCTCCCCCCACTGTCAAATGTGACATTTGAGTACCTCCAAGAGGTACCAAAAAATGGTTTATGCTGTCATGGACTGGTCATTTCTCTTTCACCATCTTCAGAACTTTTTATAGTTGGAAGTCAATTTTGAAATCCAGCCTCACATTCAAGACCAGTATCAAATAGTACTATTCAAAATAACTATTTGCATTGTCTAATAGGGTAGCCACTGGCTATATGTGGCTGTTGAACACTTAAATCTGCCTTATGCAGGCCTGGCTTATCCACGAATTAGGTCTCTTCTCATTCATAATGAGTTCATCCAATGCATGTAAAAAACAAAAGTGTCATTTTTTCCCCTGTAGGGTAGTGCTTAAGGCACTTGACTGCTAACCAGAAGGCTGGTGGTTCAAACCCACCAGCCACTCCTTGGAAGGAAGGTTGGGCAATCTACTTCTGCAGGTGATACTGCTTTGGAAACCCAAGGAGGGGTCGCTTTGAGTCGAGTCCGACTCAACAGCACATAACAACAATGACGTATTATTTATTTAGTTTAATATCCTGGTTGTAAAGTTTGAGGCAAGACTCATATATATACAAACCTGCAGTTCTTGTGGAACTGAATATAAACAGCATGAACTTGAGAAAAGGATAAACTCACTCCCAGATAATTTATTTCCCTTAATTTAGAATCACAGGTATTCTTTTTATAAGTAAGAAAACACAAAAGGTTTAAGTAAGAATCTCAATGGTATTTATTTACCTACAGGTAATTTTTCTATTGCTTCAACATTTTTTCAAATTGAAAACGCTTAGAACTGAATCACTTGGCCCTTTCTCTTCTTGTCGCCTCCCAGTTCAAAATGCTTGCATCTCTTAATGGCCAGCATCCTTTTGGACCTACAGTTAGGCTCAACGCATTCAAGTCTCAGCACAATCTTCTTTGTGGTTTTAGCCTTCTTCCGGAAAATTGGCTTTGTCTGCCCACCATAGCCACTCTGCTTCCGATCATAGCGCCTCTTTCCCTGCGCATACAGGGAATCCTTGCCCTTCTTATACTGGGTCACTTTGTGAGGCTGATGCTTGCCACACTTCTTACAGAAAGTCCTTCGGGTTTTAGGTACATTAACCATCTCCGCAGTAGAGCTATCTGCGCAGTGTAACCTGTAGTGAAATATTTAAGGCAGCATATGTTAAGCATTTTGAAAAGTGAAAATACGTTATACAAATATTTACAGAAAATACAAAGAACCATAAAGTGACGTATAAACACATAAAGTACTCGTTTCCCATATGAGTAAGTGCACAAGCAAGCGCTCACCTTTTCTGGGATACTTAAGTTTGAAAGGCTAAAAGATTTCTAGAAAAACTATTATCTGGTTTTCTTCTGCAAAAAAAGAAGACCAAGACTACAGTTTTTAAGTTTTTTCTCGACTCCCTGCACCCTTTCTTCCTCCATTTTCTGGTTCCTAGGTATGACCGGTTCAGTGGCTCAGATGTACTAGCTAGCTATTGGTACCGCCCGCCTCGTTGGTTCTCCGGGAACCCCATCGGCCTGGTTTCACTTTTCCCCCCTCGGAAACACGGTCACTCGTCAGCAGTTCTGAGGGCTGACGTGTCCTTAACAGGCCGCCACGCGTGGGCCCCTTTCCTAAAGGGAAAAAGCCAGGTCTCGAGCTCAACCAAGCCAAGCAGTCTCGTCTTCCCTTTCGTACAACCGTCTAGTCCATCTCTAAGATTGTCTAGATTCTGAGCAACGAAGGCTCCTCTCAGAACCACTTCAGCCCTTAACTTAGCTTACCGGGAACTTCGCTTTTCAGGGTCCTCACCTCGCTCGGCTCGTGTCTAACCGGAAGGGGAAGGGAGAAGCGGAAGTAGGAACTAAGCCTGAGCGACAGTACTAGGAACCAATAAGCAACAGACAACGACGGCCAGGCGTCTCGGGATGCGTCTGGGAAGCACCAACCAACCGCCCAAGAGGCGGAACTGAGGGGTGTGGGCCGGAGGGCCGCGGTGCTTGGCGGGCCAGTAGCGGGTTGTCAGAACGATTGCCACCGGACTGGGGCGAGGCTGCGTTGCTGGGTCTTGGCCGCTTGGGACCCGCGCAAGCATGAGAGCACAGAGGACGCAGGGCCGCTGGAGGCGCAGGTAACGAAACTGGGGTGCAGTGGGGCCGCGGCGGGGCTTCTTCCGGGACTCGTGGTGCTGAATGGAAAGGACCGAGGCGACGCCGAGCTGCAGCTCCTAGCGGCGGGGCCAGTGCCCGAGCTGCAGCTGCCAGAGGATGTGTGGATCCCGGGCGGCGCGGGGGAGCTGAGAGCCTTCGGGCCCCAAGACCCCCGGAGCCCGGGATGAGTTAGCGAGGGCAGCCACGGGGGCCAGTTCCCACTGCTACAGGCCGAGCCGACGGCCGCCGCCCGCCCGCCTGCCCCTTCGTCCTGAAGCCGCTAGCTAGCTCGTCGCCCGCCCGCCTGCGTTCCCGGCCCTGGAGACCATGAGGTTCCGCATCTACAAGCGGAAGGTGCTGATCCTGACCTTCGTGGTGGCCGCCTGCGGCTTCGTCCTATGGAGTAGCAATGGGCGACAAAGGAAGAACGAGGCCCTTACTCCGCCGCTGCTGCTGCAGGACGCCGAGCCCGCGCGAGGTGCTGGCGGCCGGGGTGGGGAGCACCCCGCTGTGTCTGTGGGCATCCGCAGGGTCTCCAACGATTCGGCGGCTCCGCTCGTCCCGGCGGCCCCACAGCCAGAGGCGGACAATCTGACGCTGCGGTACCGGTCTCTAGTGTACCAGCTGAACTTTGATCAGACGTTGAAAAATGTAGATAAGGACGGCGCCTGGGCTCCCCGGGACCTGGTGTTGGTGGTCCAGGTGCATAACCGGCCCGAATACCTCAGACTGCTGCTGGACTCACTTCGGAAAGCCCAGGGTATTGAAAATACCCTCGTCATCTTTAGCCACGACTTCTGGTCGACAGAGATCAATCAGATGATCGCCGGAGTGGATTTCTGTCCGGTTTTGCAGGTCTTTTTTCCTTTCAGCATTCAGTTGTACCCCAACGAGTTTCCAGGCAGTGACCCTAGAGATTGCCCCAGAGACCTGGACAAGAATGCCGCGTTGAAAATGGGGTGCATTAATGCCGAGTATCCCGACTCTTTCGGCCATTATAGAGAAGCCAAGTTTTCCCAAACCAAACACCATTGGTGGTGGAAGCTGCATTTTGTATGGGAAAGGGTCAAAATTCTTCAAGACTATGCTGGCTTTATACTTTTCCTAGAGGAAGATCATTACTTAGCCCCAGACTTTTACCATGTCTTCAAAAAGATGTGGAAATTGAAGCAGCAAGAGTGTCCCGAGTGTGATGTTCTCTCTCTGGGGACCTATACTGCCAGTCGCAGTTTTTATAGCATTGCTGACAAAATAGATGTAAAAACCTGGAAGTCCACAGAGCACAATATGGGTCTAGCCTTGACCCGGGACGCGTATAAGAAACTGATTGAGTGCACAGACACTTTCTGTACTTATGATGATTATAACTGGGACTGGACTCTTCAGTACTTGACTGTATTTTGTCTTCCAAAATTCTGGAAAGTGCTGGTTCCTCAAGCTCCTAGGATTTTTCATGCTGGAGACTGTGGTATGCACCATAAGAAAACCTGTAGGCCATCCACCCAGAGTGCCCAAATTGAGTCACTCTTAAATAATAACAAACAGTACATGTTTCCAGAAACTCTAGTTATTAGTGAGAAGTTTCCTATGGTAGCCCTTTCCCCACCTAGGAAAAATGGAGGGTGGGGTGATATTAGGGACCATGAACTCTGTAAAAGTTACAGAAGACTGCAGTGAAAATTCACAATTACAGGAACAAAAGTGACAGTCTTCTGTTTTTCATATTTGTCCAAACAGGATATACAGTTGAATAAAAGGGTTTAGGAACTGGTTTCTGCTTTAATAGGAAAAAAATTTCTTATAAAAGGTGCCCCAATACAGTAATCATTTCTAGTTATATCTGATAAAGATATAAAACTGAAGTTTTCATTTCAGGGTTGTGTTTTAAAGCTCAACCCCTATCTGCTAAAGGTAATCATTATTGTTAATTGTTAAGAGAGAGGAGAGTGAATCTTAATAAATTACATCTATTAATCTTTTTATCTGGAACTTTGTACACTTTTCCACTTTCGAAACTTACTTTAAATACAGCAAAGTTTATTTAAAATTATCATAGCAGTAAAAAGTATTACAATGAAATTGTTGGAGTATTAATGAAACAAGCCCAGTTTCACGCTTGACACAGTTCTTTGGAAGGCACTCTTCACTGATTTTATAACTCAAGTTATATTTGTTAAATACCTTGTCAGAACAGTCATTTTCAGTATTACAGATTCCTGTACTATTGTGTTAAGATTTGCCTGTGCTTTGGAACCTTCTTAGAACACACTTTCTTTTGGAATGTATTTGATTGATAAGGAAGTTTAAACATTGTTTTCACTTCAATGTAGAAATACAGTGGGGTTTTTCTCTTTTCTTTTTTTCCTTTTAGTGCTGCCAAAATAAAATACTCATTTTGCATAAAAGATTCTTAATCGTTTTGCAGAATAAATTGCCTTAAACTTTTACTTGAAAATTCAGCTACAGGCATTCTGGGAGTTTTGAAAGTTAACATTACATCTTAATATTTAGTATCTCTACATTGTATAATTGAATTTGAAATAAAACTTAGGTCATGACAGTGCATTCCCTTTGGAAGAAATTGGCTTTCAAATTAGCCAGGCATAAAAAATGAGCAATAAGAAGCTGCTTTGTAAGGAAAATAAATACAGACTAAATTGTTTTAGAAAGCTAAAAATGATACGAAGTTCACTCTTGCCAAAGTGAAACATTTTTTTGTGCCAGCTTTAACTGAAATCATACTTTTAAAAGGATGGATACCATAAAATAGGAAGCAAGCTTAAAGTGTACTCCATAGTTAATGTAGAAGCTTATAGATGATTTCTTTAACATGATTTCACATAACCAAAAAGTTGAATGAGAGACTGATTTCTGTGAAAAGATACTACAGTTAGTCACAGCCTAAGAAAATTATGAAGTAAATAAGCAGGGTCACAATTTTTCCTACATCAATTTAAAGTTCATATTGTGGTTGAAAAGGAGCCCTGGTGGTGCAGAGGTTAAGCACTTGGCTGCTAACTGAAGGTTAGTGGTTTGAACCCACCAGCCACTTGGGAAGGATGTGGCAATCAGTTTTCATCAAGATTTACAGCCTTGGAAACTCTATGGTGAAGATCAACTCTAACACGTAGGGTCAGTATGAAGCAGAATTGAGTCGATGGCAACGGGTTTGGTTTTTGGATTGTGGTTGAACAATGCATACGGTTGCATACGGTGAGACATACGTTCTCTTCCTTTATGAGCTACCTCTGCTACTTTCAGATACCAAGCTGGTTCCAGAGTATACATAGGGGCTATAAATGTAAATCAGGATGAATCGCCAGGCTTTGTACCAGTTTTTAATCCAACATCTTAGTTAAAAGGACTAAAGAAATTAGGCAATTTCCAGAACTGAGCTAAAACCAGAGGTCTGGATTACAGTTTCTAAAACATACAAATCAGCCCATGGCCTTGATTAGATCAAATATTTTCCTTCCTGCATCTTCTTAAATATATAAATTATATACATAATACATTCTTAAACACATAAATTTGTGTTAGATAAAAATCTTAGAATTTTCTCCTGGTCTTATGTAAAAAAATGCTTCTCCACAACACTAATTATTTATTGATTACTTAGATACGTGATTGGCTGCTCTCTTTTGGGTGTCATAAAAGAAACTGATTAGAAAACACTGTGGGCTTTCTTGTTTTCATGTAATATAATGAAGAAAATTTTCCTATGGAAGCAAATTGTCAGATTTTTTTAAGTTGTCTTGTTCTAAAATTCTTAAATGTATTATGTAAAACCAAAAGATGTTTTAATACTGCAATAGCAACTTCCCAGAAGAATTATTTTAAAAGTTGAATCTTCAAAGTCACTACCAAGGAATTTAACCTTTATATTATGTATATAGTTTGTGTGACATGTGAGTAAAAGCTGAAGTAAAAATGCTAAATTTCATTATGTGTACTTGTAATTGTGTAGATTGCTAATATTGGTTAGTAAAGTTCTTTGCTAAGAAGCTGTATTTCAAAAGCATAAATACATCCTTTTGTGACACCTCTGAGAAGTTTTGAGATTCTAACACATATATTCATTTTTAGATATTTGTATTCCTGAGAATTATTTTTTTGCAATAGGCATGACAACTCAGTGAAAATTTATTTTGAAACTTTATTAAAGTAATGGTAAACAAGCAGAAAACAGCATAGGAGTAAACTGATACAGGTTATAATATGAAATTTTAAGTCTCCATTAAGAAAAACACATCAGAAGAAATGACAAAACTTATCTTAATAATTAAGGAAAATTTATTTAAAGAGGCCAAAAAAAACCCCACAAAAACAAAAACCTCCTGTTTCCTCATTAGAATCAAAATTACAGATTCAAATTTTACACTTTCCTGAATAGATTTAGTTTTAAGACAATATTTAACAATATTTTAGGTCACATTTTTTCCTTTTTATAACCTTTAACTTTTTTCAAGTTTCTTTTTTAATCTTTAAATTCCAAAATTATACAGACTTAGTCTAAGTCATACAGCAAAGAATTCTGAAAGCTGAATGCACAATGAGTCACATGATCTTTAATAATTTGCACACTACCATCCTGCGTGTTTCTTTCTTTTATGCTTTGTAAAGCAGATACATGATGAACTGTAGTTTTGTTCTGTAGTGCAGATAGCTGAGCTCCATCTAATTCTTTGTCTGCAGTTAATAGTGGTTCTTTTAAATTCTCTTTTTCCTCATTTGCATATACAGCACACTTTTCTTTTATAAACTCTAGTTCCATTTTTGACTCAGGTTGCTGAGATTTTCCAGAGAGCACTTGAGAAACATCAAGAGACTCTTGTTGCAAGCATGTACCTGAACCACAACTCTCTGCTGCTCGTGCATTATCTGCTATAGATGAATCAGAAGGTCTGGCATTTCCCAGTGTATGTTCTCGTTCATTTGTGGTGGTAAGATGTCCTATATTTTCTTTTTTAGACAAATGATGCCCTTCATTGACTTCTTCCTTTACATGAAGCTGATCAGAGTCACTACATTCTTGCAACTGTGTCAAGAGAAACAATAAATTAACAGTAGAGGTTAAGCACTTGGCTGCTAACTGAAGGTTAGTGGTTTGAACCCACCAGCCACTCCTCGGAAGGAAGATGGGCAATCTACTTCCGTAGTGATACTGCCTCGGAAACCCAAGGAGGGGTCGCTATGAGTTGGATCTGACTCGATGGCACATAACAACAACAACAACAATCCTCTGGAAATAAGATTTAAATTGTAAGGGAATAACCTTTATAAACCTGCAGCTATGCTTCCAGTTTTCCCCTGAAAGCCACCTTCCAAATGTCAGTCATCTTTTAATAATGCAAACCTGGCATGAATTCCCTGCTTAAATCCTTTCAATGACTCCTTCAAGATTAAATAACCCAAGCTTTTCAATATGGCCTACAAAGCTCTTTGACCTGACCTAACAGTCATCAATCTTATAAGGGCATTCTTGAATTTGTGAGATTATTCAGAGCTACTCCTTCCCTCAATTCTTGTATCAGTCAGTTGTGCTAGTTACTAATTTATTTTTAAGGTGCCCAATATTGAAGACTATGAAAATGACCAAACAAGGTCCAACTAGAAAGAATGAACTAACTGGCATTTCCATGCTTTGAGCATGAAAAAGACTTGTGTGTATCTCTGGACTAGTACTCAGACTTTCTGAGTGTTAGCTTCTCTTTGTTCCTCATTGCAGGGTTAGTTTGGGATTAAATGAAACAAGTAAAAATGAATGGCAGAGTGTTTAGCACACAGTAGATACACAAAAGTCTGTCTTCATCACTCTTCCCATGCCACTATATCCGTTTTGTTCAAAGTTAAGACATCAAGAAATCAGGAGTCATTAGGGTTTAACCATGTCCTAAATCGGTCCACTGTTAAGACCCACCAAAATCCGTACCTTTGTATGAATTTGAATATTATTATCAGTAATCTGAAGAACTTCAATTAATGGTGGGGTTAGAGATATTGTTGGTTTGAATGGAGAGCTCAGGGCCTCATCAAGAAACTCATTAACATTTTCTTCATTGACAAACAACCTCTCCTAAAACAAAAAGGAAAAAAATAGTTTGCCTTATAGGTCATGCTTGACACAGTTGTATCTAAACAAAAAGACAATCTAACTCTTAACACAGTTCAGGGTTACATTTAAAGATATTTAATGTTATTCCCATGCTGTCTTGGCAAAAGAAAACTGAATTATGTAGAGAATAGTAAGAATAGCAAGAGTACATACCTGTATATATACATAGAAGGGAAAACCTAAAATAGTCCTGGTTCTTTTTCTATATCTCTATAAAACCTGACATGTTTTCTCTTCTACATAGTATTACTTACAAATGATATTTTTCTTTCCTTTAATATTTCATAGAAATAATATACACTAGGGTTATATATGGGAGCTCTGGTAGCATAATGGCTAAGACACTTGCCTGCTAACCAGACGGCTGGCGGTTCAAACCCACCAGCCACTCCTCGGAAGGAAGGTTGGGCAATCCAACTCCTAGTGATACTGCCTTGGAAACCCAAGAAGAGGTCACTATGAGTCAGGTCTAACTCAACGGCACATAACAACAACAAGGGTTATAAATGTAGTCCCAGCTATAAAACATAATTCTGTTTTAGAATACCTCCTAATGAGAGACTAGGACTCTCATACACTGTGTGGGGGACTGTAAAATGATACAACTACTGCGGAAAGCAGTATGGTGATTTCTGAAAAACTTGGAATTAGAAATACCATTTGCCTCAGCAATCCCATTACTAGGTATATACCCTGAAGAAGTGAGAGCCAGGGCAAGAACAGGTACATGCACACCCATGTTCATCACAGCACTATTTACAATAGCCAAAAGATGGAAACAACATACGTGCCCATCAACTGAAGAATGGATAAACAAACTATGGTATATACACACAATGGAATACTATGCAACACTAAAGACTAATGTCGAATCTGCAAAACACCATATAACATGGATGAACTTGGAGGATATTTTGCTGAGTGAAATAAGTCAATCACAGAAGGACTGTATTAGTTCATTATTGTAAAAAGTCAAGCAAAGGTTTATATATGGAAGGAAACTTTCTTTGTTGGTTACCAGGGGTGCGAGGGGAGAGGAGAGAACACTGGAAAAAAGAAAAAAACCTCCTAATGAGTCTGCTAAAAAATAATCAAATTGTCACCAGTTTGCCTCTCAGTTTTTAGTGAGGTGTGAGTCAAGTATAATATTTTAAGTGTATTCTATTTTTAAGAATTGAGATACTCCAGTGTGACAGTGGTATACAGCTATTTATAAGAATGAGAGATTTCCAAACTACTACTAGGAAATTTCAAAATCACTCTTTCAGTATGGAAGGAAACTTTGTTGGTTACCAGGGATAGGAGGGGCACAAGGTTAAACTGAAAAAAAAAAAAAAAAAAAAAATCTTTCACCAGAATGCCAAACACAATCATATTCATGTCAAATGACTATAGGTTAAGCTGTGAAAGGTATAATCCTATTTAAAATTACTTAATCATAAAATCAGTTCATTGCTGCTCTGAATAATAAAAAGTATTTTCCTCTGAATTTTCATAGTGCACAAGTCTTATAATTACATAATAAACACAGCTTATTATTTGGCCCAAATGAAAAAAATTCAGAAAGACAAATTTCAAGTTCCCTTCTGTGAGAATCTAACAGGCATCTGCTACTTCATTTCAGCTGCTAGTAAAAACACTTTATTAAGCTTGTGAAAAAGACAACCCAAGACAAACTGCATAGTTTTATCCACCTATGGCAAATGTTAAAACTAGAAAAGTTCCACTGTTAAGTTTTTTACTCACTTGGGTTCTTTTCCTGTTTCAGAGAATAATCTTGAGTTTCTTCCAAATGACACATAATTTAGGGGAAATAACATTCCTAAATTGTTCCTTACTTGACTTTATAGTATATTCCCTTTCTCGAGAGACCTTTCTAAAGCACGGGTTCAGTATCTGCTAGACACTGTATGAAAAATGTTGGATGCATTCCGTGCACTTGTGTGGGTACGCGCTCAGGCTACAATGTTCATAAAATTCTCAAAGCGTTCTGTGACCCAAAAAGTTAAAGAATCAGTGAAGAATGTTGGGCAAGTGTAGCCTCAGGTTACTTCATCTGTAAAATGAGCCAGCTGGACTAAGAAAATTTCAGTCTTTCCCATCACTGAGCTCAGTGCCCTGAAACTGAATCCTAAAATAATTGGTCCCACAATACAGTAATAACTAAAAAGAATAGCATTAAAAGATGAATCTGAAAGATTACTTTAATCGGGCCATATTTATATTATATAAAACTAGAAGTGGAAGATATGCATAACTGTCTGTCTCCCATACATATAAAAAATCTACTATTAGGAATAAAGGCTGGTTATTACTATTGTTTCTAAGAAAATAACTACATTTCATTTTCATCAGATTGAATGAATGGGAAAAATATAGAACTGGTACTCTTCACTGGATTTACCATTTTTAAGGTATCCTAACATTATACCCTCTAGGATATATTTTTACCCAACTTTATTGATACTATGCCTTTATATAATTTTGGACTTTAAAAATAATTCTTTAGTGGGAATATATTATGATTCTAGTGAGTTTAACAGCTGAGGAATTGTATGCTTTGTTTTTACTTATTTTTTTAAGCTTTATAATATTTAAACTTGTCAACGCCTCCCAAACCAAAGTACACTGTTTACATTTAGGGTAATTTGCTTTGCTATTATTTGAAGATCCAGGCTAACACTGTGTTATAGAAACACCCCCATCAAAAGCATTTCTAAAGTTTGTGTCTCTGGAAAAGACTTATATACATTGATCTTTCCCTAAAAATACATCAACTATTTAATCCAAGGAAAAATTATATTTATAAAGAAAATGATTAAGATTAAAATACAAAGGATTTGCATAAACTTGCCTTCTCATTCTAGTGATGGACTTTATAATAAAGATACTGAACTCAGTGGCTCTGAAACTTTAGGACAATTCCCCATGAAGACTTAAGGCTTACATAAATATATTTAATACCTGTTTAAGGCCACTAGGTGACACAAAAGGTTTGTGCTCAACTGGTAGCCTAAAGGTTGTCAGTTTGAACCCACCCACCTGTACTAGGGAAGAAAAGGCTTGGTAATCTGCTTCTATTAAGATGTTAGCCAAAAAAAACCTCTGGAACAGTTCCACCTGGTAACACACACAGTGTCTAGGAGTTGAAATCAACTGGATGGCGTAAAGTAACAATTCTGACCTAGACCGCTACAAATTAGTCTTTTTACATTATAACCATTTTCATATAAGCATGTAATATAATCATATTAAATGTCCACTCCCTACTCTTGTGATTTTATTTTAATTTAATACTTAGAGCCTGGTGTAGTACAATGTAAAAAGGAAGAACTGGACATTAGGGTTCCAACAGCTTTAGCAAATGTGATTAATAAAGTAATTATAATTTTATTCCAGTCTTCAAAGATATAAAACACTGTTGCCTTAATCCCATTTTGGTCTAGTTTCTTTGCTAAAATATTGTTAGCATACTAGGAAATCTGATTAAAACATTCTTTAGAATTCTGTTAACTATTTGCTCATAGAGTTTTCTTCCCACAAACATTTTGAGTTATTTTTACAATTATTAAAACGACTGCTCTTTCCTAAATTTCCCCTTTCTGATGACATACACAAAGGGGCTCTGGTGGCATAGTGCCTAAGGCATTTGACGGCTAACTAGGTCGAAGGTTCAAACCCATCAGTCATTCCGTGAAAGAAAGATGGGGCAATCTACTTCCTTCCGTAAAGGTTTACCACCTCGAAAACCCAGTGGGGTCACTATGAGTTGGAACTGACTCAATGGAAGTAAGTTTTGGGTTTCATGACATAAACAAGGAGCTCTGGTGGTGTAGTGGTTAAGGCATTTGGCTGCTGACCCAAAGGTTGATGGTTCAAACCCATGGTTCAAACCCACCAGCTGCTCCATGGGAGAAAGATGAGGCAATCTACTTCCATAAAGATTTACAGCCTTGGAAACCCAATGAGGGTCGCTATGAGTCAGAATCAACTTGATGGCAGTGAGTGAGTAATGACATAAAAAGATACTCAATTTTATTATATTTTTACAAAATACCTTACCTAGTGCTGGCTATTTATTTTACATTTTGAGAGGGAGTTACAAATTAATCACTTACCAAAGAAGAGGCTCCACTCATACAATCTGCATGAAACTTATTACACACTTATAAAAACAAGGAGTCCTGTGGTGCAGTGGTTAAGTGCTCAGCTGCTCAGGGAAAGGTAGGTGGTTTGAATCCACAAGTTGCTCTGTGGGAGAAAGATGAGGTAGTCTGCTTGCCTAAAGATTTACACCCTTCGAACCAGTGGAGCAGTTCTACTCTGTCCTATAGGGTTTTTAAGAGTTGGAATGGATTCCTACGGCAGTGGCCTTTTATAAAAGCAATAGGAAGATGTAAAAAGTTCTGGTAGGTTAAACCTAAGCTCAAGTACTTAATTTCTAATGTACAATCTGTGCAATTAGTGTTATTTCTGAGAACTTGACCCTTGAATATAATAAAAGAACAAGTTACATGTAACATTGACACATAATCATGAATAGCTAATTACTGAGTTTAAAGAGTTTTTTACAACTTCAAATTTTAAGTAGTTATTTCAGTATTTGAGTGGAGTACTTAATCTGAAGTTCAGAAACCCAGTAACTTAAAAAGTACAGCACCAACTACCAACCCATACCCAATGCTGTTAAGTCGGATTCATGCAACCCTACAGAACAGAGTAGAAACCCTATAATTCATAGGGTTTCCAAACCCTCTAATTCATAGGGTTTCCAAGGCTGTAAATCTTGACGGAAGCAGACTGCCACATCTCTGTCCCTTGGAGAGGCCGGTAGATTCGAACTATCTTTTAATTAGCAGCCAAATGCATCATCAGGACTCCTTGAAGCAACTACCAAAAAAAAAAAAAAAAACTCACAACCACCAAGTCAATTCTGACTCATAGGGACCCCACTAGGTTTTCAAGGCAGTGTAAATCTTTACCAAAGTTGATTGCCCCATCTTCCTTCCCAGAAGTTGTTGGTGGGTTTGAACCACCAACCTCTCGTTACCAGTCAAATGCCTTTTAGGCCCTGCACCACCAGAGCACCTTTGCAGCAACTACAGCACATACTATTCATCAAAAGTATAACCTAAGAAAACACCTCAACTCAGCTCTAGGACATGTGCTAAAAAAGGTGCAGCTGATGCAGCTGCTGTTCAGTTCAACAAATATTTAGATTTCACTTTGTTCAATGCCAGCCATTGTGACAGATATTAGAAGGGACCCCAGGATGATTACAACAAATGCAAAAAAGAAGTAGTGTCAATGCAAAATAGTGCCTGGCAAAGGATGGCCCCATCATCCAAAACCCAATGCCATCGAGTCGATTCAGACTCATAGTGGTCCTATCAGAGTACAACTGCCCTATGTGATTTCCAAGGCTGTAAATCTTTACCGAAGCAGATTGCCTCATTTTTCTCCCGCGGTGTGTCCAGTGGGTTCGAACTGTCTACTCTTTGGTTAGCAGCCAAATACAGTCACTGTACTACCAGAGCTCGCTCCATCAGTGACTAAAACAAAGCAGCATCATATAAGGTCGCTATGAGTCAGAATCGACTCCACCGCATTAGATATATGGCAGTCAGGGCAAGGAATCTGGAGGCACATCTGGTTTTGAGTTTCTTTCCCCACATCTGTGTGGCACTAGCTGAGCTACTTTTCCTCTCTGGAACTAAATTATTATTATTATGAACTTTCTATGTTTGAAAACGGAGCCTTGGTGGTGCAATGGTTAGCCCTCGTCTTAACCGAAAGGTTCAGTGGTTGAACCCATCCAGCAGCTCCGGAAGGAAAGACCTGGCGATCTGATGCAGAAAACCGTTTGAGGCAGTTCTACTGTCACACTGGGGCGGTGTGGTCAGAATCCGCTGGACAGCACCTAACAACAACCTCAGAAAGTCAGTTATCAACTTCAAATGTGCCCATTAGGAAATGGTTCTTAAATGTAGGGGAGTCATAAACCCCTTATGACAAATTGTGGCTTTCCCCGGAACAAAAGCACCCTCGATTTTTTACAAACACTTTCAGAGGTCCACGGATTCCCTAGAATCCAGGAAAACAATTCCTGTATTAGGGTGACTGTGAGAATTTGATACCCATTCACCGGAGGGGACGGGTTGTTTCGTTTCTTCAAAATAGAGTACTGTGAGAACGTTCAACACGTACTTGACATCTTTCCTCAATTTCTAGTTACTAATACAATTAATACAATATCAGTTTCAAGCCACTGAAGGTGCTTTTTGTTTGGGATAAATTGCGAGGACGCTTGTGATAACAAATTTTAAAAGGTGAAAGAATCTTTCAAATATAAATAAGGCTCTAGAAAGAACTGTTACCTCCAAAGAATCGTTGTTTAAACCATAATACCACTCTCTCCAATGTCCATGGCTCTCTGGAGATTTGGCCAATTCTATCACTGCATTGTTTGAAGAAATGCTAATCACGGGTTCTTTGGTACTCAATGTATTCTCTGGAGCAAATTGTAAAAAGAAAGAATAGTAAACATAGTCTTGTGTAAAGAAGCACAATTTGTACCGAAAGGGGCTCAAATCCCCTTTAAGACTTTGCGGCAGGATGCGAGGCACTTGAATTACCACAGTCAGGAATTCTTCATCCTGATTACACAGCAAAGGAGGACACAAAGGTTCCCCGCTTTCGGTCACGGGACCACCCATGGCTCTGTCAGAGGGCTCCCTGCTAGTGCCTTCCCAGTCCATGTGCGTCTCTACGCTAAGATCTGTGCCTGCGCCCCCTCTTTCTGCAGAAGACCTCACTTCAGGGTCCGCTGATGAAATACAAGAAAGGCCTCCGCCAACGTCCCCAGATGAGCTTCCTAGTCTCGGAGATAGAGCCTCCCGAAAGCTCGGCGGCGACCCCGCATGTCCGCCAAACTCCTGCTCTTCTGGTTCGGGGACTAGCTCCTCCTCAGCGCCGGATGGTGGGGACGCCGCCTCACGGGCTCCCGGGATGACGACCCCGACGTCTGCAGGCCTAGCTCCACAGGGACTCGAGTCTCGGTCCCCTGCGTGACCCCCAGCCGGGCCCACTGTCCCCTGGAGAGCGGAAGCGCAGGCCGCGCCGTCAGTTCCGGACAGGACGGCTGGGCTTTCCGGCGCCGCGGCCGGCTCCCGGCGTGCGGCAGGTAGCGCCACCGGCAGCGTGACTACAAGCTGCCGCCGGGCCTTGTTGAACTGCGCCTTGCCGCGGCTGTCGTCCACCGGATACGGAAGCGAGAGCCGCAGCTGATAGTCAGGCTTCCTTGAGTCGAGGCGAAGCAGCTTGCCTGTTACCTCCAATGCTGCCTGTTCGGCCGAACGCAGCAACGGCAGCTCGATGGTGACCACGAGCTCGCGGGGCACGGGGCTTGGGGCCGAGTCCCGCGAGCAGCGGTAATCCTGCAGGTCCACGTGGTGGCGCTGCACAACGCTGTACCGAGGCTCGGTGGGGGCGGGGGGCGGGGTCTCCTCCGGAGGGGAGGGCGCTTGGGTCTCGGCGACCGGAGAGTTCCCGGAGGCTGCCGGGTACCGGTAGGGGTAGGGGAAATCGAGGCGAGGGTTCTCAGGATCCTCCTCGGATTGGGTCGGGGCACCCCCGGGCAGCGGCGTGCGGAGCACAGCGGCCTCCGGGGTCCCCTTGTACTTGATCTTCAGCACTTTGGCATTCCTGCGGTCCAGCTTTACGCTGAACTGCTTCTCGATGGCCTCCAGGGCCGTAGAGTCCAGCATGTGGCGGAAGCGTTCGTGGCGCCGAGCGAGCGCGAGCGTGTCTGGGTGGAAGACCACGTCGTATACCGTGTAGCGGGTGCCCCGGCGGCCCGCGTACTCGCGCCCTGGTGCCAGGCTGTGGGGCAGGGACCAGTGGTGGCCGGGCGCGGCGCCCCCAGTGCTTGGCCGGCAGCTGGGCGCACCCACCAGCAAGTTGCTGCACACATTCACAAAGCAGCGCCGCGCTCCATCCAAGCTGGTGCGTAGCACATGGCCTGGCTCCGGGTGCACAAACCGAACCTCCACTCCGCGCTCACGCTCCAGAGCGGTGATCTCTGCCTCGTAGCGACGCCGGTTCTCTGGGTCTGCGAGCTCCTCCGTGTACTTGGAGAACAGACGCCGGAACTCGGGGTCCTGGAAGGCAGAGGTGAGCCGCTGTACCTCGTCTCCGCTTAGGTTCAAGTCCTCCAGCGGCGAGGAGGCGGTCGCTTTCGCCATGTAACCCAGTAGACCCTTGCCCTCGGGACAAGGGGGAATCAATCAGTCCCAGGCAGGGTGGGTGGCAGGCATCACGGAGCGCCGAAGCCGCAACTAGTGAAGCAGCAGTTGATTCAGTTACGGCCAGAGAAGAGCCCTGGGCAGCGCGTGCCCGTTGCCATAGTGACAGCACCAACACCAGGGAGGAGGGACAGAAATCTGAGTGGGATGGTGAAAATGCCAGAAACAGCCTCATAGTTTCTTTAAACCAGCTAGCTACTCTACCGAATGCGGGTTTTTTTGTTTTTTGTTTTTTTTTTAAGGCTCCTGAGTCATGGTGCAGTCGGCCTTGTTTCAGCTGATGAAACACTGAGTCACATCATGTTTTTGCCAAGAGCAGCTCAGAATACCCTTTCAGTGGTCTTTCTTCACTGGCCTGCCTTTCAGATCTCTGCTACCCATGGTGGCTAGAAAGTTATAAATGGAAACCTGATACGAGGTGTCTTTTCGGATGACTGCTTTCATAATTAGCTTTCTGCCCATCTTTTATTTCTGGATGGTGCTGATCCTCACCTGGTTCTGGTTGTTATTCTGATATTTATTTCTTGGTTCTGACAACTTATTTGCTCTTAGTAAACTGGCTTACTTTATTTCACTTTAACGTATCCAACCCCTGTTGTTGGTAAGTGCCGTCCACTCGTTTCCGACTCATAGCAATCCCATGCACAGCAGAATGAAACACTCCCTGATCCCGCGCCAGCCCCACAATCCCTGCTATACTTGAGCCCATCATCGCAGCCACCATGTCAATCCATCTCGTTGAAGGCCTCCCCCTCTTTCGTCGACCCTCCACCCTGCCAAGCATGACATCCTTCTCCAGGGAATGGTCCCTTCTTACAACATGACCAAAATAGGTGAGACGAAGTCTGGCCATTCTTGCTTCCAAGGAGCACTTCCTCCAGGACAGAATCCAACCCCTAAGTGCTCCGTAGTTTCTAGTCATCAACTGTTTTCGGGAAAGGATCTCTGAAAATCTGAGTTTTAATTATGTTGTTGTTGTTTGCCATCGAGTCGGCCCCGACTCCTAGTGAACCCTCCTTGGGTTTCCGAGGCAGTTATCACTACGGAAGTAGGATTGCCCAACGTTCCTTCCGAGGAGTGGCTGGTGGGTTTGAACCGCCAGCCTCCTGGTTAACAGTCAAATGCCTTGGCACTATGCTACCAGTTTTAATTATAGAAGCAGTCATTTGGTGAATGAATGAACAAAGGCCATCTTGTGTTCAGTTCCCATATATCTTTCATATACAGCTTGATGGCTCTCATAATTGGATCAACCCTGTGTGTCTATCTCACTACCACATTCAAGGCTCAAAATGTAAAATTTTAAGCAATCTAGTGTTTAAATTTATGCCTTGATTTTATCTTTAAGCTTCAATTTTTCCATGGTATTCTTCAGAAACTAAAGCTGCTAAACCCTGCCCTTCAGGCCCCTTCTAAAGTCCTCCACCCATTTTCTTTTTTTAAATATTTATTGTGATTTGGGTGAAAATTTACAGAGCAAATTCATTTTCCATACAGCAGTTCATACACATTTTGTTTCATGACATGGACTGCAATTCTCCACAATGTAACAGTTCTCTTCCCTCTTCCTCCCTGTAGTTACTTCTTCCCTGTGTTCTTCCCTCCAATGCACTCCCTCCACCCTCTCCCAGCTATCTCCCTGTGCAAACACTGCCCTTCTGTTCTCCCTTGATTGATCACTCCAAGAAGTATATCTACCTGATGTGAATGTTCACTCCATATGCCTGACTATTGTTTGGCTGGAAGTCACAGGAGTGGGTTCAATTCCAGACCTGAAGGGCAGTTAGGGGCCATAGTTTCAGTGGTTCCACCAAGGTCTATCAGACCAGAAAACCTGGCCTTTTTTTTTTTTTTAATGATTTTGAGTTTTGTTCCACATTGTTCTCCCACTCTATCTAGGATCTCCTGTACCAGTCCCCCTCTGAGTGGTTAACAGTGGCAGCTGAGTACCATCTAGTTCTTGTCTCATGGTCATATAGTCTGAGGTTTGCATGGTCCACACACAAGTCCCCTTAACATGCGTCTGGTTTTCTTCATTCTTTGCTCTGTTGCATCTAGATGGCTGCTTGCAAACTTTTAAGATCCCAGTCACCAAAGTAGGATGTGGAACAATCTTTTTGTGTAGTATGTTATGCCAGTTGAGCTTGATGTTCCCTACGAACATGGTCCTGAGCCCATAGGTCCCTCAGGGTGGTTGGCTGTGGCTAAGAAGTTACCATAACTTTGCCCCATGTTAGTGCTATTATATATATGGATATTTTTATAGCACATACAAATATGTATGTAGAAGTATTGTCTACCAACCTTATACATGGTCATGGGTATATTCTCTTTTGCCTAGACATACCTAATTCATTTAGCCTCTCTATCTATTTACCCATAGATTAATGCACTATTGTATATGTAAAAGGGCTTATCTTTGTTGTGTGTGCCTCTTGTGCACCACTCGTCTTCCTTAGTGTTACTGTCGCTTTTGGTACATTGCCTTTCCCTTCACCCAAATCAGTACTTGTTTCTACTTATCTAGTAGTGTTCCTTCCTTTCCCCTCCCATCCCTGGTAACCAACAAAGTTTCCTTCCATATATAAACCTTTCCTTGACTTTTTACAATAGTGAACTAATACATTTGTCCTTCTATGATGGACTTATTTCACTCAGCACATTGTCCTCCAAGTTAAACCATGTTTTGCGGTGTTTTCATTTCTGGGCTGTCTTTCCATCAAGTCCATACAGTAAATGATTTTAAAAAAAATAAAGGGATGTGTTGAGTAATTACATACAAAACAAAAAAATACGCTGGTTCAAAATAAACATGTCTTCTAAAGGTTAAAACTGTAGGGACTGTTTGTTTTTATATTTTCAGTACCAAAAACTTGAGTAATTTTGTAATGAAGATCAAACTATTATGTTGAAGCAAAGGTTTTCAATATAAGTAGAATAAATTATGTGGCTGAAATGTAGACAGTTTCAGAGTTGCTGAGTATATTAGTGGGATTCTTACTGTGATAAAAACTTAAGGTAGACTAAAACAGTAATTTGGGAGATTTTAAGTATTTGTATTTTTCTTGAAATTGACATCATAGTATGACCATTATAGAGATAACTAAACTTAGTTTTTAAGTGCAAACGTACACTTAGATTATATCATTACACGTATCTGCCTATTTTTCTTAAAAGACTGTATAGAAGATGTATTTCCTATAAACCTTTCTAAAGTATACCATCATGTTTATTGTGCTTTAATATGAAAATTTCATGAAATAAATTGAAGCAGAACTTTCTAAAGTTTACTATGATTTTATTATAACAATATCAAAATTATATAAAATGAAGCAGAAAAATGATTTTGTTTCCTCACACGGTCTTTGAAGATCTCAGAAGCCTTGAAGTTTGCTGAAAATAGGGGAAAAAAAAATTATACCTTTAGGAAACATAATTTACTATACATTTTTCAATATTTCTTTTCAATTAATTTAAAATATAGGTTAATATATAATATTTTAATAAATTCAAAAGGGAACACATTGAAAAGTAAGTCAGTCTCGTATCTCATTTCTGCTCCTCTCGGAAACTTGTGTATCCTTATGTAGCCTAGTCATATGTCAGCATATTTGTATGTAGGAATGAGTATCTTTTAAAAATGGATACATGAGTACAGAATACTATTCACATAATTCTACACTTTGTTTTTCAATTAAAAGTGAATACGTGTATCTGTAATTTATTAACCAATTTCTGTGGCTTTGAAATTTCAAATGTTCTGAATACATGTTGTTTTTAGTTGCCATGGAGTCAGTTCTGACTCATAGCAACCCTGTGTACAACAGGTCGAAACACTGTCCAGTCCTGCACCATGCTCACAGTCTTGCTGTGTCTGAGCCTATTGTTACAGCTACTGTTTCAATCCGTCTTGTTGACGGTCTTCCTCTCTTTTGCTGACCGTTACTTTTACAAAGCATTATTCAGGGACTGGCCCTTCCTGGTAACATGTCCAAAGTACATGAGATAAAGTCTCACCATCCTCACATCTAAGGGGCATCCTAGCTGTTCATCTTCCAAGACAGATTTTTATGCTTTTCTGCCAGTCCATGTTATATTCAGTATTTAAATAAGCTATAATTCAAACACATCAATTCTTCGGTCTTCCTTAGTCAGTGCCTAGCTGTCGCATGCATATGAGGTGACTAAAAAAACCATGGCTTGGGTTAGGAGCATCTTGGTCCTGAAAGTGACACCTTTGCTTTTTAACACTCTAAAAAGTTATAGCAGATCTGTGCAGTATAATATGTCATTTTATTTCTTGACTGCTGATTCAATGGGCATGATTGTATGTCCAAGTAAAATGAAATTCTTGACAACTTCACTGTTTTCTGTTTATCATGTTACTCACTGGTCCAGCGGTGAAGATTTTTGTTTTGTTTAAGTTGAAATGTACTCCATACTAAAGGCTGTAGTCTTTGATCTTCATCAGTAGTGCTTCAGTTCTCTTTGCTCTCAGCAAGCAAGTGTTGTTACATGCATACTGCAGGTTCTTCATCAGTCTTTGTCCAATCCTGATGCCATGTTCTTCTTCATATACTCCAGATTCTTGGATTATGTGCTTAGTATACAGATTGAATAAGAACGGTGAAAGGATATAAACCTGATACACACCTTTCCTGATTTTATACCACACAGTATCCCCTTGTTCTGTTTGAAAGACTGCCTCTTAGTCTATGTACAGGTTCCATATAAGCACATTAAGTGTTCTGGAATTCCCAGTCTTAGACATGTCATCCATAGTTTGTTAAGATCCACAGAGTTGAGTGCCTTTGCATAATCAGGAAAACACAGGTATATATTTGGTATTTTTTGCTTTCAGGCAAGATCCATGATATTCCTTGTTCAACATCCTCCTCTGAATCTGGCTTAAATTTCTGGCAATTTTTGAATTATCTTCA